TGAGAGTAGGGGACTGGCTATGTGTTTGAGCTGGGAATTCAGAAATGGAAAGTGACAGTGGGAATGAAGATGGATGTCAAGTCCATTTCAGGTTTGCTTGCACAGCTCTGATCCGTACATACCGACCTGCATTGTATGCAGTTTGCAATGTGGGAGAGAATTTCTCTGCAGTACTGAAGGCAGATGATTATTGCTGTGTGTACAGAGCCCATCTTATTTGCACATGTATACAGGTACATGTACAGTCCATGTACATATACATACCACACATACATGTACTTGCACATTTGTGTGCACACGACATGTACGATACATGTGCTGCAAGAAAACAAACGATCCAGTCCTGGATGTTAACCAATAAATAAATGCAGTGGCCTACCCAGGATTGGGGGAGGGGGCTTGGACTGGGATTTACTGGTGCCTCCCAAAATACATGTAGCTCATGATGCTCAAGGTCTTTCCTTCCCCCATTGCACCACAGGGGACTAGGATTTATGACAGCCATCAGAGCTAGTTATTGACGATATTGTACTGGTACATGTATTCTGTACATGTACATGTAGATACCTGTATCTTCAAGTTCCAGAAAGTAAAAAACATAAATTAATACATTTGAATCCCGTTCCTTCCTTTGGGTCTGGTGCACAACTGAATAAGCTTGTACTAGCGTGTAGATAACCTCACTAATCCTTTAGTACCGGTACATGTTGCCTCAAGCTACAATGTACATGTGTACGTAAAGAGTATTCAACACATGACCCGGAGACCCACATTTTTTTATGCAGACTTTAGAGGAGTTTTGGGGTCAATCCAAATTTTCTACCATATACAGATAGAGGTACATGTACGTAAAGTCAGCCCTGCCACCAGCTTCAGGCATGAACTTAATGAAGGGGGCCCGCAGTATCAGCTGGGGAGGGGGGCCATATCACAAGAACACAATATAGTTGTTATGCTTGTGCTTTTTACCAATGGGAGGACAGCTTCCCACCAGGGGGATCCGATCCCCTCAGGTCCCCCTCCCCGTCCCTTGCCGATGGGCCTGACTTAAATACGTGTAGAGATTTGAACGTGGCAAGTTGTGCAGTGTGAGCATGTGCCCTGCTTTAGGGTTGAAACAGGTGAAAATGCATACATGGATGCATTTGGATGGATTGGGTTGACGAGGGGAGTTCAGACTGAGTAATGCTTATGGCATTTTAAATACATGGTGCTTACATGGACATGTAGACATGTTCTCTGTACACGTGTATACTTTCCTTTTATTTCTTATCAACACATGCACAGTACATGCATTTCTTGTGCACATGTCATGAACCATCAAAAATACATCCTTTCTTGCAGTACCGTATATGCCTGCGAAACTGTCATCCGCGCCCATGAGAAAAGTTCATTGAAATATGTTCATGATCTTTCCTAGCCAAAAGCCTATTGATTTGATTGTACACGTTCACATGCATGCTTTGTACATTGACATGTACTCTACATGTACTTTGATAACCTGTGCAGAATTATATGCATTGATTTATTAATGCACTGTTGCACTTTGGTACTGGACTCACATGCTTGATTAAGCAGGCGCTGTAACAGGTATTTGTGGTCTTGTTGGTACTGTGCAGTCATTGAGGTAGAAATGTACAGTGTGCTGGTAGTGTACATGTGCATGTTCATCTGCAGATTCACTGTACAGACTACTCCATGGTAGACTGACACCAGTACATCTATGGTACATGTACCATCATCTGCCGATGTACATACAATTTGTGAAATTTAGAGCGTGTGACATAATTTAACTCCGGAGTAGTCTGGTACCGGTACATGTATTTCATGCAGCTCTCTGTTTGTCTTCAATGTTTCGTTGGTCGTCTCAGAAGGCGCACTGGTCTTTTAGAACATGTATGCAAAATTTTCCCTTAGATTTCCTGACATATAAGGACGCTGTGGCTGTGAGTCATTGTAGGGGGACACTGTTCATTTTCGAGGAGTTTCTGCTCAAATTGTGAAACCAACATGTCGATGAAACCTCCATGTACATGTACGTGCGGTAGATTTCGAGGGGCTTTAAGGGTAGCTTTTCCTAGATACATGTATATTGTACCAGTAGGTGGACCACACTCACTAAAAAATTGAAAGCAACGCATGCAGAGTGCATTATGAAGCCTTTCACATCCCAGTGCGTGGTGCCTTAGGTTTTTCAGAGGGATTACAAATCTACAGACAGGACAAGGACATTGTGCTGCCAAAAAAATCAATAGAGATTGTCAAATTGGCACACCATTAAAGTTGGACCCTAATTCAGGTGAGGTGATGTAAATGTACACTGTACATGTGGGGTACGTCATGGTGTAGATGCAATCTCACCCTTACAAATTATTCACATGACTTTCCAGCAAAGGACATTTGACCACAGATCCTCTGAAAAATGCCAGTCCAATGCCAGAAGGACTTGAGAAAGTCTGTCCCAGAGTCCCATGTTGATTGTAGCCTTGGCGACCAGGCCAGGGCTAGAGCCAAGGTACATGTAGGGGTGTCTGTGCCAATGTGCCAGATAGTCAATAATCCTGACAATAGGGCTCTAATGATTGCAGTAAACAGACAACATGAATGGCATTGGGGTGGGGTATCGGCACAACACGTGCATGGGGATGCGACAGTGTACATGTACATGTAGGTCTGTGGTGGAGATATGGGACTCGAGCGAACTTTGGAATGTCTGTGTTTGAAGTTGAATAGGTGTGATTATTTGGCATTGTTGCAAGCACGCAAAATTCTTCTCACATCAGCCGATTTTTTCATTTTCTTTCAAATCTTAATCTTACCATCCCAAATTGAAAAACACTTCATAAAATTAGAATTTATAGTTGCGCGTGTGTTTCAGTCAGTTTCTGACAAAATGGAATTGTTTTCAAATTTAGATCCAGACACCATACATGTGTACATGCAAGGACATGTACATGTACTTACAAGAGAGACACGCATGTCCAAACTGGTATTTGACTTGAGGTTTAAATCAGCTGAATCATTGGAACTTTAATGAGTTCCTGTATCATTGGAACTTTAATGAGTTCCTGTATCATTGGAACTTTAATGAGTTCCTGTCACATTTTTGGTCCCCGAGTTAAAGTTTCATACACATGTGTGGTAGGCCTACTTGTGCTGTATTTGTGTTGAGACTGCTCAAACTAGAAGAATTTGGGGACAAATGCAAACGTATTAGGGGTGATTTGCAGTACATGTACGTGCATCACCAAGAGGTTGCCATGGAGATGCCATTGTTCAAGTTTACAGAAGCAGACAGAAGCAGGGCTGCCTTGCTGTGATTTGTACAACTTGAGCGAATGTCAGTCGCCAACCTAGGGAAATTAATGATAGATTGAGACATCCATGCGGTAGACAGAAAAAAGGATTATAGCAGCCGGCTTATAGATTTTGTCAACCATTTCTCACCATTCACTGCAAAAAATGGCCCTTCCATGGAACCTCCTGGTGGTGCACTGTGATATTATGAGTCACCATACATGTACATGTGTATTGTTACATGTATGTGTACCGTAGTTGCGTAAGATCACTGCAATGTTGTTTTCAGAAGATTGATGATTTGTAGCAGTTTTACAGCTGTTTACATGCGTGCATGTACTTCCAGCACCAACAAACTTTTGCCTTTTATAAAGATCAACTCTATATTTTTTTTTAATTTTTTTTTTACCCAGTAGCCTTCATGTTCAATTACTGGAACATGGAGGCAACTACACCAGCATGCGTCAGTCTAGGTCATGGAATGGAAATTCGAGTCTCGTTCATTCGCAGTTTTTTTTTTTTTTTTAATTGACATAAGTTTGTTGACACAGATGCCAGCGCTGCAGCGGGAATCGGCCGATATTAAAGTGAAGTTGCCGGCACTCAAAAGGGCCGGACATTCCCTCGTTCTGCGCCTGGCCGCGAAGGCTGTCAATCATCTGGAGGTCATCTCGAGCATCTGTAAACGTGCTTGCGGTGCAATCTTAAAGGCATCATGTCACAGAATTTCTCTTTAATGGATGTGGCATTTAAGCGTTTAAATGTCAAAATAAAACAAATTCTAAGTCTGTTCACAGTTTGTGCCAAAAGCAAACAGAACACAAATTTTGTAGCACCATGGTCTTGTACATTTACGGAATGTAACTGGTATGTACATGTATTTCAGACATACGTTCTTGTGAAATGTGCCAGTTAAATCATAGGTTGTAAATTTCCCCCATCTTTAGAGGCACCTTGGTACCGGGTGCCGGTATTTGATCAGATTTTAGCCTCAAGAATGTTAATGTGCTTTGAAAAAAAAGGTACATGTACATGTATAGACATGTGTTGTATATGCCGTAGTACATGAATGGTACTTAATGGTACCAGTGCATGTGCATGTACATGTAGACTGCACCTCTGTAAATTATGTATATATACATGTGCCATTTTGATGTTTTCAGATTGCCTCGGGCCCAACTTTTTGCTAGCTGTATACATGTGCATTTCCTGCATGCGATTAAAAGTCTTACCGAAATGGCAAAACAGGGTGTGAATTGCTTTTTTGTATATGTATTTGAGATACATTAAAGTACATTTACATGTACATGTTTCAAAATTGATGTTGGACAGTAACAAACATTCCCCAACTGCTTTCAGTGAGCTGCATGTACTTTACAGTTCATAATTTATTGAGCAAACCTCCCCAACCCTGCAAAGTCCGTCTGAGGTAGCATCATATTGACAGTGTTCTCCTTTACCACAAACTGCTTGGGAATTTTTCAGATGTTGAAAAGAGGGACAGAGAAACAGAAATCAGAATGAGTTGTCCCATCAGCTTGAACGGTTTCATCCTAGACGGACTTCGACAGAGCACAACAAAGCAAAACAAGTTGTCTCATCAGTTCTTCCATACATTTTCCTTAGGACTGAATTTTGCACAAGAAATCAAGACAGCGCCTGCAGGTCTTAATTCTTTCTTGTTTTTTTGTTACCTTCTCCAGCAAAGCTCCTTACGTTTTGGCAGCAGCCATTGCTCGGGCCACTGTGGACATCGTCCTCAGCAAGGACCTCACGATATTCGTTGTGGATGACGAAGGAAGATACGGTGATGATGATGACATCACATGCACATGTAAGGAAGTCTTTCATCTCATTTTAAGAGAGTCAGTGTTATGTTTTGTCGTCGTGGGAATTGTGACAAGTTCTTGTGGTCATTCCTTGAGTCATTTCTAAAGCCACTGTTTGCGCGTGCTGTGCTAAACAATTTTACCACCACCGACTGTCCAGATGGTTCATAATCCACCAATGTTCATAGAATTTGAAAGGGGAACTCCACTTAATGCAACAAAATGAAAAAAAATTGAAACGAAATGCAACAGAATGCAACAAAGTGCAACAGAATGCCACAAAACCCAACTGTGGGTTTTGTGGCATGTTGCATTGTACTGGATAAATCTCAACCTGAGCGTGATGCAGTTGCACAGCATGCTCTGCCACTCATCTGGCCTGCTGGATCCAATCCGCGTTGAGCGGAAGCATCCCCCCCCATCATCTGTTGGGAAGAGCCATGCTGACAGGGAGTGTTCATTTTGTTGGAAGCGCCGCGAACGCAACGCATGCATCTCATAGTTGTTCTTTTGGTCATGCTCGGGGCCCATAGTATACAAAAACCTGTGACCATTGTTGCATTTAGCATGGGGAAGGGTGGATATGATGCGGATAACCGATAAATTGATGAGGAATCTAAATACTACAGCATTAAGGAAGTCAGGAAAGAGACAGGACAATATGCGAAAACTTGTACAACCATATAAGGTTCGCTGACACGCCGTACAAGAAACAAAATGAAAAGAAAAACAAGCCGGGAAGATGGCTACATGTGCTGATACATGCATTGTATTTAGAAGAACATGTGATGTACATACAGTCCCTGAATATGATACGATCGTGAAGGTTAAAAAAAATGAATGCACCTTGGTGGTATTGTTGAGAAACAGGTTATTTAAAGGTTTCAATGGATGGAAATTCCTGTGAATTTCCACAGGTCAGCATTTCAACCCAAAAGTAAGCCTGAGTCATGACACACTGTGAACATGTACGTGAATGAGCGAAGAAAGTGCAGATGGATAAACATATACATGTACTTTGAAGTATAACCACTTAATAGTACATGTACCAGTACGACATGTAGATGTAGATTTAATACTGCCTGCACCCTGATGAGAAAAATCACCTCATCTCAAAGCTGTGAAAGCTGCACTTGCTCACACAAAATGGAAATCATTCACCCACCTGTACACTTGCTTATGTTTTTGGTTTCCTTTGAACTGTCTGACGCAATTTCAGTTTCACAGTGGTGTCAAGTTTAGTTCTGAGTCATGTCTCCTCGAGTATTTCAGTTTACAGCTGTCTGAAAACCTCCCACAATGGAAACCAGCCTCCCCCCCTTGTTTTTCCATTTTTAACAATTTTCGGCAACAGTGTACGATGCGGGTCAGATCTTCCCGTTGGTGTGGACCACTGTCAATGACCTGTGCGAGCGCTGGAAGACGGACCTGCCCGACCTGCGTCTGCCCCCGCGCCTCCACCAGGTCTCCCTCTACGCCGTCAAGAACACCCGCAAGAGGATGGAGGATAGGCACGTCATTGTGCCCGACCTAAATGCGCTCTTTAATCTCAAGGTTGGCGGGTCCACTTCAAGATTTCCATATTTGTGAGAAAAACTGTAAAGTCATCCCAGGAAGAACACCTTTTTTTTTTTTTACGCTAATGAGATTTCCATATTTGTGAGAAAAACTGTGAAGTCATGCCAGGAGGAAACCTCAGTGCTGCATTGGTTGATGCACGAAAAACTCCTGCACTTTTATTTAGATTTTGCAGGCCCAACTTTTCTTTTCTTTGGTGATTCAGAGTTGTGGAAGGGCAGAGCAACAAGCAAGCAACTATCCCACAGAAACAATATCAGCAAGTAAATGTACTGAACCATGTCTTCCTTGGATGACATCACAGGAACAGTGCCCTCAGTTGTCCAGGAAAGCATTAATAATTGAACAATTTAAAAAAAACTGCACTTTTCAATGCATTTAACCTTAACAGGATGCCAAATAGTTTTCATTCGTTGAAGAAGAGTATTAAGGTGCAGAAAAATTGTCTTAGAAAACTTCATTGCAGCTACACTTTAAGGAACAGTAAACTGAAGTCACATACATTTTATATCAGCGCATCGAGCACAACCTTTTTGAGGGATTTACTTTGTTTCAACTTTCTGATGCCTACCAATTCAAGCGCAGGTATGCAGTTCTTCTCCCAAAGGGGGGTTCAAATGCATTTCCTGGTTCATTTTCTGGGCACGTATCTTTAAATCCTGAACAAACGTGCACCCCTAGGTTGTACTGTTCATGTACGCATCAGTGCGTCCTCACAGACTTATTAGAAACAGCGTGGGTCTCTTTGAAGTCTGGGCTAATTTAATTGCGGCCTGATGGACCAGTTACAAGAAATGACGCACTTGTGCAGTAATTCCAGCCACAAGGGGCTACCCAGGAACACATCCTACATACATGATGTATCAGCGCATTAAATTGCATGTGACACAGTACACAGAGTGGATCACCTGTTTAGCTCATTAGTGACATTGCAGATAAGCTGGGCTCTGCACTGTGGGCAGTACCTGCCTCAGCGTACTATGACATTGATGCTGTTTGTCCCAGATGAGCAATAACATTGGTTTGGGGCCCTCGTTGCACTTTGTACCTTTTGGAGAAGATTCTGAATCTGCTTTTTCAGGATACGGATTCTAGCTGACCTGGGGAAAAACGGATATCAGCTGAATTCAGGACACTACTTCACGTGTAAAACTGATACTGTAGATCGAAAAGCTGAGTTAAAGAATATGATTTCACTTGGGTTTTAGGAAACCGTTTCAGCTATTTTAGAAAGCAACTTCAAGGAAGCTTCTTTAACTTGATGGTGGTAAACAAAATCCAGCTTTTAAGGTTGCACTGTCTCAGTGTTTACGTGGAGGTGCCAATATCTCAGTGTTTACGTGGAGGTGCCAATATTGTAATTTTCTTTGTGACAGTTGAAAATAAAGACTGGAAATCTCTTTATGATCATATTGTTGAAAAATTTGGAGCCAATAACTCAAGACAAGATTTTGTGACAGTGAGTTTGTCACATGTTATCAAGCGTACCACATGCCAGCTAACCAGTGTCACCATTCTCCTTGACAGAATGACAAGGAGAGGTCTTTCTATGCCGTCTATGATGGCCACGGGGGCACGGACGCTGCCATGTACGCCTGCCAGCATCTCCATGGCAACGCCATCCGGCAAGACTGCTTCCTGGACGACCCCTCCAAGGCGCTGGCCAAATCATTCCAGATCACCGACGAGGGCTTCCTGAAGAAAGCACGTAGGGAGGTACGCAACAAGCCCCACTGAATTTCCCAGAGCTGCTGCGCTTAGAATTTTGCCAAGTGTAGAACAAGTTTGCTCAGCAAAAGCTGGTTATCCGCCTGAGAGGCACAGTATGTATATTGCTTGTGCCTGGTGCTGTACAAATGGTTGCTTAGTACATAAATTTGTTGAGCAAAATTTGTTTAATGATGAAAATGGATCCAGTTTGGAAAAGAAATGCTCTAAAGTTTGTTTCAGAATAGAACTTTTGAAAAGTGGTACAGAAATCTTGTTTTCATTATGAAGTTCAAAAGAGAATGAGGGCCAGCTCATACTTGGAGCGAAGGCAAGCACGGGCACGATTTTGTGAAGTTAGGATAGTTGTGCTGTGAATTCATAGAAGTTTCAACAACGCAATCCAACTTTGCTCCAAGGGTTGTTTTATGGTGTCAAATTTGCTTTCCTTTTGCATTCACCTGAAGTGTGAATTGACTTTCGAGGACGATTTCTTCATTCCTGTTTGTTTATGTACCATCTACCCTTTTTGCCATGCGCATTGTTGTAGGGTTTAGGGAGTGGCACTACAGGTGTGGCGGTCATCATAGAATCGGACACGCTGCACATATCGTGGCTGGGGGACTCCCAGGTGTATCTGATGAGAGAGGGTCAGCCTGTCACGCTCATGGAGCCGCACAAACCAGAACGACCGGTAAGGCAGGGTCACCAATCCCTGTATACTGACTGGATCGCGTTGGCACCTGTAGCTAGGCACAAGAGATGTTATTTGATCCCCAGTGTGCGCGTGTAGCCCAGCATGTGTCATTAACTTATGAGTTTGGTGCATAGATAGCTGTGGTAAAACAGATTGTAAAGTGGGAGAGGGGGGCAGACCATCAGGCATCAGCCATTCATAGACTGGTGCAGTAATCCCAGCTCCATTGTAGGACCTACCAAAGGGGGTCCTCACAGTCACAAAAGGGGGGGGGACGATTGGTGACTTTGGCCCACTGCTTCCACCGTCAGTGTGTATAGATCTAATTACATGCGTTTCCTAATCATTTCTAGATGTAGATGTTCTATCCAGTCAGCATTTTGGAGATCACAAACCTAAAGATATTTGGAATGTTCTGGAGGGAAAATGACAGTTCTAATTGGGAACTATTGCTCTTCCTAACTTAGAACAGCTGAGGACTTCCTGGTGTGTTATATGATTCAATCTTGGGAAAGCCTTCAGAGTCACTGTTGTATGTGATTTGCCAGCACCCAGCAGTCTAGTCTTGTGACTTTTGAAAGGGGGGTGAATTGATTTTTGTCATGTGAATTACTCAACAGTTCCAAACATAATTCATTTTGAGTTCGAAAAAGTGTGCCGAGTTCTTAGAAGACCACAAGTTCCATATCCACCACCATCTTGATACTTGGTCTCAGGAGTCAAAAGACTCAGAGTTCTAAAGAGAATTTTGAGTCCCTAGCCACCCTCCCCACCCCCCAAAACGTAGAGTTCTTAATAGAGCACCAAGTTCCAAATATAATGTGAAGTTTTTTCGCTGTTCCGTGAGGAGGCAGCGATGCTCAACTTTCTGCTGTTCTTGTTTCAGACTGAGCAATATGTGGCTTTATATTTTGTGTTGATTTCCGGCTGTGAGCCATAACCTCTGTGGTTCTGGTTTAGAAATTGATCAACAAGGAAGGAAATGCATGGTATCATGGGGGAGTCCCTCATGAGTCACCCCCTCCCCACAACGCACCAAGGAAACAATTGACAATTTTTTCTTAGGGCTTCTTAGGGTTATGGGATTTCTGAAGCATCCTGGAAAAAGTTGGCCTAGGAAGTCATGGAAAGTCCTGCAAGGGCTGTTTTTGATGGGCTGCTTTGGGGATGTGATCATGGAGTAATGATAAATCTACAGGCTATCCTTGTGAGTCCATAGTAGTGGATATTGCAGTCTTCCAGTTCAAAATTTCAAACAACTTTTCTCTGCCAAATGGTAACAAATGTCTTGGCAATTATTATATGTTGGTCCCAGAAAGTCTGGGTAAAGTCAATGAATTAGGTTTTCAGATTTCTTTGAGAGTCACACAGTCAAAATTATTCTCATTCCCAACAGAGTCAATAAATACTGAGTGAGGCCATTTCACTTAAACCATATGGGCCTAGAAGTTTCGTTATTGTAATTTTTTTGATCAAATTTCTCCATGCTGGGCTGAAGTTCGTAACTCTGATTTTGACAATTCCCGTCACCCACTAATAAATTTCACACATCAAAGGGAACATGTTGTCTGTGGAAAGCATTGGAAGTTGCAGGCAATGAAACTGGCAGAATGTGCATTTTTCCAGAAAATAGATCTCTCTCATTGGATGCCGTCTTTGCAGGAAAATTACAGCTGTGTAAACAATGCCAAAAGGCGCACGTGCAGAAAGCGGGCAGATGTTCTACACACGTGGGCGTGTTGATCCAAATATCTCTGAAATATGGCACAGCCAACGCGCGGCACAAAAATTTGAGGTCCAAACAAACGTTGCAGTCTTCAGGCTGTGACGTCCTTTGAGAGAGACCTGTAGCTTGCGATTCATTGGTCTGGTTTGACGTTTCTGACATTCTTGCGGCAGTCTATTTGAAGCGGTAATTCTGCCCCTTTCTGAATATCTCAACACAGGACGAAAGGAGCCGGATCGAGCAGCTGGGAGGTTGCGTCCTGTTCTTTGGAGTCTGGAGGGTCAATGGAACACTGGCTGTGTCAAGGGCCATCGGTCAGTATCAACCAGACCCTCCATCCAAATCCAATATTTTTGTAATTTTGAAGGATTCTGCCATGAAAGGCTACATTCTGAATTAGTGGCTGTGGCTTGGAATCACATGCAAACCTGTGGAAGCCACTCTAGCTGCTGTGGCTACTTCCTGTAGACATATATGTCCCTGTCAGCTACAGCAAAGACTTGGACACTGCCATAAGAGCCCAGCCAACATTGTATCAGCTTAGGGCAAAACCTTATATGAAACCTGTTGCCATTACTGGCTACGTACAGGCTCAGTGTGTAGCTTTTAGCAAACGTGGAATTGGGCATAGAGTTTCCGTGCAGTGGGAGTGCAGGTTTGTGATATTTTTGGTCAAAGTTTCCGAGCCCCATTGCATTCGAAGAAGCTATGGACAGTTGGCTATATTTTATGACCCAGAGTGAATCGAGTTACAATTTGTCATAGCCGTGCTGGATATTTAAGGAGTCAAGAAGAGTCTGCCTTGATGGAATTCAAATTGATCTCCCTCATAGTGTCCATTTTCATCAGGATGCCAAACTGAGTGATGCATCAAAGCAGTGAGCTCAATTTGCTCTCTCTAGAGCGAACTTAAAACTTATTGAAAAGATAGCTTTAAGACCCATGTTACAGGGTCTTGTCAAATTTGGTATTGATGAAATGTACTGCTCCTACTGGAGATCAGAAAGGCATAAAAGATTGTTAATGTCATTGAAACTAATTTTCTAAGGAGTTGATTAATTGATGCTGTTTTTGGCGTATACAGGTGATCCCGACCAGAAGCCTTACATAAGCAGTGATGCCGACATGACCACCATGCCCCTAACGGGCAACGAAGACTGCATCATCATTGCCTGTGACGGGCTGTGGGACGTGGTGGAGCCCAAGGTCGTCTGCCGCATCATCCAGGAAAGTATCAACGGGGCCAGCGACATGGACTCAGTGGCCCACCGGCTCGTGGTGGAGGCCAAGACCAGCGGATCCAATGACAACATCACCGTGCTGGTGGTGTTCCTCAACCCCACCCAGCGAGAGATCAAGGACGAGGAGGAAGAGGTTGAGATGGACGGGGCGGCTGACCCGGAGCAAGTTGATGAGAAGGAGGAGGAGGGCAGAGATGAAGATGAGAAGAAAGGGGATGGAGACGAACATCAGGACAGCATGGATTCTGAATCGGGCAGCCAGGATCCCCAGTCAGGCAGTCCAGATCCCCAGTCCGGCAGCCCGGATCCCCAGTTGGGCGGTGGGGACAGTACGCATGGCACCAGCCCTGCTGAGCCCTCAGACTCTGAAACCAATACAGACAATGACAATCGTTCCAGACGGGGAAGTGACCTGACAACTCGTCGCCGTGCAGGGTCCCAACCCACCAGCAACTTGGCCATCGGGAGCAGCGTCAGCCCCAGACAGGGGGAGGGGAAGCGCTTGGAAGCCCGGCGGCGATCCGGCTCGGATGACTCTGCCTACCTGTCAGGCTCCTCCCCTCTGGGCTCTCCCTACAGCATCACCCCCAAAGCCAAGAGCAGCACCCCCAAGAAGTCCATCAGCATCAATAGGCACCAGTCCTTTCCTTCATCGACAAAACGGCTCGGTAAAAACACCTGTCGAATTCGCAAGGCCCGTTCGGTAAAAACCACCAACAAGACCAATGCAGCCATCAGTGACCTGGTCACACCCACCTCCAGTTTAGAAATCTCGTCGCAGGTGCAGCAGAGGGAGAACAACGCCAAACGGACTGCACCCGCCGTGTCCCACAAGTCCATGCCTGTCACCATCAAGCCCAAATCAGTGCAGGGTGCCAAGTCCATGCCGCGGCAGTCCGAAATGGTGGGAATGCTGAAGAACAAACCCAAGTTCACCAGCAAAAGTCGCTTTTCAAATCTGGACCCCTAGACCTAGGTGGTCCCCTCCCCTCTCCCATTTGTCTGTGCACCCTGTGGCCTCCCAAAATCTGGTGTCCTGTCTTCATTTAGAGGTGTCCATTTGTTTGGCAAGGTTGTGGTGGTGAGGTTCCCTGTCCGGCCTGGAAACAGTGAGGTGCGGTGTCTGAAACTGCTTGTATAAAAGGGTGTGTCTTTGTCATGAGGGTTGGTCTTTGACTGTGAGGGTGCCTCGTTGGTGTCGTCACAGAGGCTCCCATCTCATGAAGACTGCCATCCTGATCATAGCACCTGGCTAAGAGTTGACACATGAGTGGGAGACAAGGTGTCCTTGCAGATGATCACTCCTAATCCCCAGGACTTTCTTTGAGACAGTTCCCTTGCAACCCCCAGAATCCAACACAATCTTGGTGTGTCCTGATTTTGGTTAAAGTACACGTCCTTGCTCTTTACCAAAATCTAGACATATCAAAGACCCATGTATAAATAAACATAACAGTGTCTGGCTGGGACAGTCCCAAACCTACCAAAATACTACATCAAGTACAGGCACTTCAAGTGGGCAGAGTAGAAAATCTGCATAAGATGGATGTACCCAGGCGAGATTTAAAGAGGGGACAAAACTGTTTTGGTTGACTTCTGGTAAATTGGATCCTCGACTTCTCCAAGAGGTGTTCATGTATTCATCGTTGGTGGGACCTGTCATGAAATGATCATGTCTTGTGAATGTTGAGGTGCCTTTTTATTTTCCCAGTTCCTGTAGGGGATAGGAGCCAGCCAGTGTCACATGGCTGATCAGTTAATCTGTTGGATCCTAAAATGGACTTAGTTTTGCCACCTGACAGGGTGTAAAAGGAAGGATCAGTGTCTGGTAAGATCAGATACATTCACAGCGGAGTGAAGTGTTTCCTGATATAATACAAAACCCAAACGGTCTGATGTTACATGTTGCACAACTCTTTATGAAATAGTTATATATTTTTAGGTGGATGTGCTAATTTTTTTTTTATCGGTAGCAAAAACACAAGAAATTTAAAAGTGTTTCCAATCTTCGAATAGTCGAAGGATCACATTCCAAAACTTGACAAAATGCACAATTTTTGAAGAAACATTCAATGAATACATTCGAGGTATTTCCATATTGCTAAATACTTTGATATTTTTATCTCGCAACTGAAGCAGGTTTTTTATTCTCGTGTTCCTTTTACAGATCATTTTCTTAGATGGGTCCAAGGTCTTACACTGTGTCAAAATTACCGAGGGATTATTATACACGTCTGAGGCAAATAGCTGTATCCACTAACCAGTGGCTTTCATAAACGTGCTATGAACAGTTGTAGCCAACTAATTTAGACATGCTCACCCAAGTTGTAACTGAGCCCATCACACGTCAAAACAGTCCAGGGATGTGATTTCTCCGTTTTTGTCCCGGTATTTTGGGCCTCAAAAGTCGACCCTCGTGAATCGCACAAAACCGTTGAGAAAATCAGGGGGGGAGTTACAATATGCTAATTAAATATTCATATCACGCATGCATGCCAAAATGAACCGAAGAATAGACTTACATGTACTTGTTTATTCTTTCTTCTCGAGGATCAGACACGTCGGACTACCTCGTACGTCTGCGTTATATTTACAATGTACACTGTACTTGTATACAATGTACTGTACGTACAACGTACGTTTGCATTTCTCACACGTCCTCATACCTGAGAACGAGGTTTTACAAGACTGGTATCTCGCGGGCATTATATGTGAGTAAAATGTGAGACCTGGCGCTCGTATCGAGCCCAGCTGCGCCGTACATACGCACACTGCTGTGTAAACCGTACGCACACGATTTGACTACACACACTTATAAGAACGATGGCAACAC